AAGTCATAAGCGACTCTACATATAGGAACGCTTGGCTGTTTTGAAAATTGAAAAGGTTCTCTAGAGGAACTGATAACTACAAAAACCTTCAATAGACAAATATTCTCAAACATATGGATATTTTATGGATATTTTATAAATGTGTACAATTCCAGACTTCATATAAATAAAAATGAGTTTTGTTCTTGCGCCCTAAACACCAATATGAAAGCATCATTTTCTGTATCAAATCGCACTTCAGCTATTGACTTGTGATGGTAATCGCAAATTAATAACGACATCTTCATGCGAAATAACCATAAAGACCAGGTTCAATGATCCCAACATATGACATTTGGACATTGGCTTAACAAATAGTTTCGAAAATCGTCTTTCCTAAAACCTTTATTTTTAAACCCAATCTAGGAAGCTGGTATTAGACGACTGCTGTTAAGTAAGGGCGCGAATTTGACATTTATTATTCTGTCACGATATACACGGCAAGTGCGGGCGCATTTTGAAGTAAGGGTAGACCTTCTATCTCACGAAATGTCAACTAAAATACTGGAACGTGTTTTCGATCCGAAAAGCTTACTTTAGTAGGATTTGCAATCTGCGTTACCATGCATACCAAAAGTAAGCTGTTTCAGTGTACTCTGTATTGTTTAGGTAACCCAGATAATAAAACCGTATCTTTTTTGCTGTTAGTCCCCCGTTTATTTTTCCTCCTATTTATACACATTGTGACTGTTATCTGTAAGCTCATTCTGTTGGTAAAATTGACTTTTTAGGGTGAAAAGCGCCCCAGTTTGGGCCATATGTTTGTCTGCATTTGCCAGTAGGGAGCACTGAATTTAGAAAAAATGTAAGGCTTCTTTTCCCTGCTGCACTCTTGAAGATTCTGTAAACAGCAAAACTTATTGGATCCATTAACTTCGAGAATGCTCATCAGTTTCTTCCTCTCGTTGCGTAACGTGAATAACGTCAGGGAAAATACAAAATTGAATTCATACAGAAAAAAGGATACAAGACAGCAGAATCACAGGAAATGACCGAGAGACAATCAATAAAATAAGAAAGCTAAATTGATGTGAGTAGCAAAAACTGGAGAAAAAACGTCTAAGACAAAAAGGTGAAGGGTGGGCGGGAAATTTTTAAGCAGGGAATAGGTATAACCACGGCAGATTTATTTTCGCTACATGCTCCAGTTAGTTACATAGGTCAGGTTTAAACAGCTGTATGTAATCTGCCTCCAGATAGCGTAAGGTACGAGTTTTTCCTGCCCGAACGAGTGCTCGGAAAGAGGTTTTGGGGTCCAAGAAATGGCCCGTATCTAGCAGATTTCAGTATTTGATGAGAGGGGAGTTCTGTTTTCTTGCTTCAACAACCGGCTGGGTAAGTGCTCTTTGGCTCTGCTGCCCAATTGCCTTTGCGTTCACCCTTTGTACCTGCATCCGCAGGGGCATGTAAATTCATAAACGCAGTTTAAAGTGGCGTGCATCGGCAAGGCCTCCTTTACACGAGGAAGTGGTAACAGCTTGGTTGGATTGCAAATTATATGTTCGGCAGCATAATGCGTCCTTTTAATAGTATTAAGTAGCCATCTCTTGATGGCATTGAAAATAATGTCGCCCTTAAAGGGAAAAGATATGAAAACGAGCTTTTTTCAGAACTGACTGTTCCGTCATTTTTGGCCGTAATAATTTGTCATATTTTTCTATGAACCTCTTTACACATTTCCCTCCCATCCTTTGGTCTTAGACGTTTTGTTTCTCAACAGCGTTTTAACTTTATGACTTTATTGATTCCCCGTTGGCCATTTCCTGTAACCTTGCTGTTTTGTATCGATTTTCTGCATGAATTTGATTTTATTTTCTGACTTTATTCACTTTACGCAACGGCAGGAAGCAACTGATTAGCACTCTGGAAATTAATGGACCCAGTAATCAATAATCTTCAGAATTAAAAAAGAGCTGATCAAACATTTCATATAGTCATTTACTGCTAAGAAGTTACAGGAACAAATCCAATCACGAGCGCAACATAATGGGTACATTTTGGCGACAGTGGGATCCGATTAAATCGAGAGCGTATTTGATGGGCGCTTAATATCTTACGCTTTCAGAGTTTTACCGAGTGTGTGAAAATAAGAACATACCCGCCGTGCGTAGTAGTATCTATATAAAGCAAGATATGTAAATGCGGTTAAGGGGGTGGATTACTATCGTCACACGACCAACTATACGCAAACGCAAAATGGTAGCCTAATAAACCCACGTAATATAAGGTTACGCTAATTAGCATTTAAATGCACAAAAACTTTGGGTGCAATAAGGACACGTACCCGCCGAAATAGGTTAGTAATTGTAAAGTTATAAGAGTTCAGATGATTAAGATCACATGATGTGTGCAATAAATCTCCCATCTCATTAAGTGCTAGCGGAAATGCTGAAATAAGTTTTCAATTCACAAATATACCTCAAGTACGGTTGGGAAATTCAATGTCGCACAGCCTACTCTCTACATGTTTCAAGATGCAGGCTACTGAACAAACATCTTCCCAGCCACGTGCAAAATGAGTATTCACTAAAAAAATAGTACTGCCTTATTACGTTCATTGATCTTTACAGCTCCTATAAATTAAAATAGATTTTAAAGAAGACAAGCTGAAAATTTGCTTTTTAGAAGAAAAAAACTTTGGACGATGTAGAAGCGACTAGGTGTAATCCACAGTTTGAAAGTGCTATAATTTTGAGAAGAAGAAGTTTTATCGAACACCGGAGTCCTGATTTTATTGGTCTGAGCTTTT